TAATTTACTCACTTATTCTTTCAGTTCTTAAAATGAGGATATAAAAGGGGGGGGGGATGTTTGGGACCAGGTTTGCTGGTCCAATAGAGCCTGGTGGAACCACTGAGACTATGGCCCCTAGCTACCCTTCAGGTCTGGAATTGAGACCACACCTGTGGTTTCCAGCCAAGCAAGTACAGGTATGTGAGTTGAACATTTACCTCAAGTGGACACATGCCCTTGAGAGAACAATCATGGGAGAAGGAAGGGCACCTTATGCACAGGGAGACAGCTTAGGGGGCAGGAGAGTATGGAGGGATGGACACTGGGAAGTGGTGCCTTGGGGAGGAAATTGGAGGGGAGCTGTTGCATTGTGGTAAATTGTGGTCAATGACATGAGACAAAGTATATGTGAACTGCTGTATCGAGAGTGATTTTGCTCTGTAAATCTTCACCCAAATCTAAATAAAATAAAATTAAAAAAAAAAAATGAGGATATATCAGTTGCTGCTTAGAGCTATTCCATACCTTTCCTTCCTTTCTTCCCTCCTCACTTTCTCCCACCTTTCTTTCCTTCTTTTCAGTGAATGAAAATCATCACCATTGAGCCAATCCCCACATCCTCATCTTTGCTGTCTTGACTATCAGCTCTTTAGTTGATGTAAGATTAAAATAACAAATGATTCCTCTTCTAAAAATTCATTCTTTCAGAGGAGAAGAATGTCATGGATGATCCTGGTGGGGATAACAATTCTTGCCATTTGCTTTTGTTATGCACTATGAGTTCTGACACAAAAATAGACCTCATACGTTAAGTATCACTTAGGCTGAACTATGAGTATGACCACTTAAAATGTGCTGAATGTTTCTTAAAAAATTGATCTGGAACTAGAAAAATTCTTTTATGGATAATTACATGAGGTGAAATGGAACATGAATATACTTCTTCGAAGATAATTTCAGAAACTATGCATATGAGAAATAAAGAATAAAATAGTTTTGACACTGGAAGATGTCAATGATCAATTTTTTAAGAATTTTTTCAGAATGGTTGTAATTAAAAACGAAAAGACAATATGCTTAGATGTTATGACAAATAATTTCCCTCAATAATCTAATGTTTACCAGGGATATGAATTTTGTTAGAACTTAATTCAAATGCTTCTCTGCCCTTTTACATGCTGTGCTGTCAGTCTGCCATACATTTTAACTGTGCTCATACTTGAGGCATGTGATTACTTAACACCACTTTTTGAATAGATGAAGCATTTACAGAAGTTAAGGTTTACTTAAGTTTTTCTGATATTATGTTAAATATTAACGTCATAAAACTATAGAAACTTTTTAGACATGATCAGACACCTTGTGGGACTGAGCCACTGGGCTTGAAGAAGGACCACAGTCTTGGAGAACAGTTAGATCAACTGGCGTAACACAGTATATAAAGACAAACTACTACCATTCTAGCTTGGGGAGTACTGTCTGAGGTCTTAAAAGCTTGTGAGCAGTCATCTAAGATGCAAATGGTTTTTTTTTTTCCTTCCCAGAGCAAAGGAGAATGAAGAAAACCAAAGACTCAAGATAGCAATTAGTCCAAAGAACTAATGGCCCACATGAACAAACAATGGCTTTCTCTAGCATGACATCAGAAGAACTAGATGGTGGCTTGCTATCTTTAATGACCACTCTGGACCAGGGACACAATACAAACTCTTAGAATGGGAGAAACACGTAGAGCAATACTCAAATTAATAAAAAAAAGACCAGCCTTACTGGTTTGATAGATTCTGGTGGAACCCTTGAAACTATGCCCTAATGAAATCATCATTCTAATATTGAACTGCAGCTACACCCTGAGGCCACTTCTCAAACAAATAACAAACTGGCCTATAAAATAATAACACTCATGAGGAATGTGCATCTCCGACCAAAATGGCAAGTCTGCCCCCAAACAAAGGAAGAGGCAAGAAACCAGATGAATACCAATGGGAAACCCAGTGCAGAAATGGGGAAAGTGCTGACATTGCAGAAACTGCAGTCAATGGCATGGAACAGTATATGTATGAATTACAGAATGGAAAACTAATTTCCTATGTAAACTTTC